GGGGGGGGCTGCCGTTGAGCAGAGGTCTTGTGCGTCGGCTCGAAGGGGCGCACGCTACACCTCGAACTGGGTGGGCTGGAATCAGGATGCTGGTGTTTCCAGAGGGCGCCTGGCTGAGATGGGGGCTGCTGGCTCCTGGGGTTGTGGGAGTGGTCTGGCCCCCTCTTTGTTGTGTTTCCACCCGGTGGCACTGGTCTGGTTTGTTTGTTTTGTACCCGTGGGGCTTTGGGTAACTGATTTTTGTATGGTAGATGCCATTCTTTGCCTTCTCCCCCCCCCAACACTTCTAAAACGTTCCAATTCCGTGACGTGACTTGAATGCAAATAGGAGGCACTTCATTGCATGTTTCCGATATAATTGGTTGCCCCTGATGCTGTGGTGGGATCCTGCCAATCTAAGGGCCATTCATGGCACTCCTCCTGCTGCCCACACAGCTCAGGCAGTTTCTTGAGTGCACAACAGATGGAGGGACAGGTCATACACCCCACTTGCGTGATTCTGGATTATGCTGCAGGACCCTGGCCTTTGGGCGTTTTAGCTGCATCTGTGTTTTGTATGTTTTGGAAGCCCCATTGTGGGAGAAACGTGGGGTATAAATAAAGCAAAAGCATGAAGTAACCGTTACGCTTTTGCTCCCTTTTGAGTGGAGGGCAGAGAGGGTGTGCCTGGACACAAGGAAGGGTTTCGGAAGGGGCTGGGTTTTGTTCTCTGCTCAGAACCAGAAAGCCTCTTTTCAGGGGTCCCTCCGCGCGTTGAGGGACACAACGCCATAAAGCGCAATTGGGGTGGGTGGAGGGGGGGTGACGCCTAAGGAACCAGATGCCCTCTTGGCCAGCACTCGGCGCGCCCCCCCCCCAACAATAAAATGCTGGCTTCTTGGTTGGTGGGTGTTCTTCAGCCTCCTAAGGATAATTTTTCTCTGGAATTGCATCCCCCGTGTTAACAAAACACGGGAGAAAGGCAACGGCACAGACAGAGGCCAGGGCTGCCCGCTCTGAGATTTTGGAGATTCCTCCCCCCGGGGGGGCAATCCTGCTCTCCGCTGAGCCTGTGTTGACTCCCTGAGGCACTTCTGTAAATGACGCCTTTGACTCGCACAGCCATCCCAAGGGGGTTGTGTTCCAAAAACGTAGGCAGTAGAGCTTGAGGGCATAGGACTCTGGGCGCCAGGACTGTCCAGTTTGGGGTTCTCGAAGTGAACCTTCTGGGTGCTGAATGCAAAGTGGTGGCAGTGGTGGTTTTCTCCGTTCCTTCTGCCAAGACCTTGGAGTGGCTTTCCCAGGGATACTTTCCCCGCCCCCCCAGCACTTATGCAGCCTCCACAAGACTGCCATGCACCACGTGCCAGGAGATGCTTTCTGGCTGAGCTTTTTAGCCTGTTCAGAGACGTGGATGTAGAGGTGTAAATAGAATCACTCTTGGGGTGGTTCTAAATGGGGAGCCCTCTTCGGTCTGACACGGAAAGGTCTTACAAATAGGATCCTGTCTTCTCTTGAACGCGCCAGAGACACTTCTGGCCTCCGTTTGATTTGTCCCCCATTGCCTCCTCTTTCCTAGTTGAGAACAAAACTCTCGTCTCATGAGATCCAACAGTTTGCCATGCTTTTGCACGAGTATCGCAACGGAGCATCCATACACGAGTTTTGCGTCAACCTCCGGCAGCTCTATGGGGACAGCAGAAAATTCCTTCTACTAGGTGAGTCAGTCCACCATCGAAGAGGGGGCCGCTCTGTGTTATCCCCCCAGATTGGGACAGCCACCGTGCCGGGTGCCGTGCAAACAGGGGCCAGAGACCGTCCTTGGAGAGGGTTTGCGTTTGACAGGAGAAGCAGACTTGGGAGAGAAGCTGGGGATTCGTGGGTGAGTAGAGGGGAATGTTTAACATGTATACATTACTGAAACAGCGATGTCTACGTTGGCTTGAGCATGTCGTGAGAATGGCTGACGGTCAGATTCCAAAAGATCTCCTGGATGGAGAATGAGTGCAGGGAAATCGCCCAATAGGGAGATCACAGCTGCGATACAAGGATATCTGCAAGCGGGATCTGAAGGCCTTAGGAATGGACCTCAACAGATGGGAAACCCTGACATCTGAGCGTTGAGCCTGGAGGCAGATGGTGCATCACAGCCTCTCCCAATTTGAAGAGACCCTTGTTCAGCAGGCCGAGGCAAAGAGGCAGTCACAAAAGCAGCAAAATCAGGGAGCCGGACAGGGGACAGATTGTATTTGTCTTCAGTGTGGAAGAAATTGTCACTCTCGAATTGGCCTTCTCAGCCACACTAGATGCTGTTCCAAGTCCTCCATACAGAGCACGTTAACCATAGTCTCTCGAGGCTGAAGGCGGCCTAATCAAAAGAGGGGATGGGACAAGAAGGGAAAGGTGAACATCAGAGTAGGTGGGTTGAAATTCGTGGAGGAGGATGCCTCAAAGGGCACCAGCCTTCTGTGCCCAGAGTGCAAGACAAAGACAAACACATGGTGGCACCCTAAAGACTTAACTCTGTGTGTGTGGTGTGTGTGTGTGTGTGTGTGTGTGTGTGTGTGAGAGAGAGAGAGAGAGAGAGAGAGAGAGAGAGAGAGAGAAGTCCACTCCTCTCCACACAAGTGCATCTTATTTCTATGTTGCTTTTACCTAAAACGCTTAGTTACCTTGACACTCTAGAGACACAAAATTCCGCATGTTGATGGGGAGGGGGGGTTCAGTTTGGACAGCCTTTTAGCTGAACTGTAATATATTCCTTTGGCTAGCCCTCCTGCAATTTTTTTAAATCATGACTTTGAGATCATTTTTAAGAAGTTCTGTTTCCTCGTGACTCCCTCTCGTGGCTGAGGTGGGTGCTGAGAAACCTGGATAGGCCCTCGAGTGCCACTGATCCTCTAGGCCAGGGGTCATGAATCGGGGGGGGGGGCTCCAGAGGAAGGACCTCCCCTGCCATCCGGCCCCACCCCTGACCGGGCAGCCGCCTGGGGCTGATGTCAGTTGGAGAAGTCCAACCAGATCTAAGTGGCCTCTCTGAATCTCCCAGCTTGGTTCCCCTTTCAGGCAACTCCCCCAAGCAGGTTCCTGTATTCAGCTTTATCCAAACTGGTTTTGCCACCTTCCAGGGGTGGGGGGAAGTGAGAGAGAGAGAGAGAGAGAAGTGGGCCTCATTCCTGGTGTGAAGATCTTCTGGCTGCCACCCTTGCTCTCCTCGTCAGAGAACCCTCACTCTTGAGTTCTAAGAGGATCAGGGTCTTGCTTAGAAGAGGGGTCAGACGTCCACCCTGACCTCTATCATCAGGACACGGGGAGCCAGAGTTTGCCATTTCCCAGTGTCTAGTTGCGGGGGGGGGGGCTCTGGTCCCTTTGGCCTTTAGGCCGGCAGCATCTCTGGAAAAAGGAGGGCCCGCCGTACCTTTTCAGACACAGGTAATGCCAATTCAAGACTGCTGTTGGAAGGCTGGTCAGATTCTGTCACAGCAAATATGAATAGCTGCTAAGCACAGTCCTGGCATGATGTCTGTATTTTTTAGGGAAAGGTAAAGATTCCCCTTGACAATATGTCCAGTTGTGTCCGACTCTAGGGTGCAGTCCTCATCCCCGTCCCCAAACCGTAGAGCCAGCGTTTGTCCATAGACACTTTCCATGGTCACGTGGCCAGCATGACTAGACATGGAACGACGTTACCTTCCCGCCGAGATGGTACCTATTTATCTACTCGCATTTTTTACATGCTTTCGAACAGCTCAGTTGGCAGGAGCTGGGACAAGCGATGGGAGCTCCCTCTGCCGCATGGATTTGAACTGCTGATCTTTGGACCTTGCAGCCCAGAGGCTTTGCAGTTTAACCCTCAGCGCCACCACGTCCCTTCATTTTTTTAAGGGTCTCTGAATAGGGAGATAGGCACGGTCTTCCTCTTTGGAGGGAGCACCTGGCGCAGCTTTAACCACAGCCAATGTTTCAAGGCTGGCCCCGATGGGATGGATTAATTGCTCTATTGCCTGCTTTTCCTGGTGTCCCTTCTCGCCTCTTCCTGATGCTCCTTTTCCCCCCATCTCTCCAGGCCTTAGACCTTTCATCCCTGAAAAGGACAGCCAATGCTTTGAGAACTTCCTAGAGACCATCGGCGTGAAGGACGGGCGCGGCATCATCACCGACAGCTTCGGGAGGTACCGGCGGACGGTGAGCACCACCTCCAACTCTACGACCAACGGCAACGGTGCAGCCGGGAGTTCGGACGACCAGTCAGTGCCCTCAGAGGGAGACGAGTGGGACCGGATGATCTCGGACATCAGCAACGACATTGAGGCCCTCGGGTGCAGCATGGATCACGATTCCTCCTGAAAGGGTGGGGGGTGCAGGGGGCAGAAGAAAGAAGAGGCTGCTCTCCCCTCCCGGGGCGCCCTGGCCCTTCACACACTCACTCTCTGCTTTCCCTGGTCAGGAGAATGAGATGTTTTTTTTTTGGCCCCGGCCACTTTTCCCACAAGATCTCTTCTTCCCGCTCCCGCCCCCTTTTCTCCCACCATTTCGGTGGCTTGGTTCGATAGCCATCTTGCGCTCCTAGCCAAGGGTCTTTTCTGGGAAAGGAGCGAGAGCGAGAAGCCATGAAGGAGAAACGAGAGGAAGCTTAGCTTGGAAGGAGAGAGACCCGAAGAACGGCCGTCGGTCTTTCTCCTTCCTTGCCAGGATGGGAGTTCTTGGAGGAGTCACGGATCTGAGAGAGAGAGAGAGTGATTGTGGACGTGGGGGGGTGGGTCTGGCTGGAGGACAGCCGGCCCACAAGGACCCTTACCAGCTGGAGTATGGTTTTGCACATGACATTTCGATTTTTTGTTTTTGTGTTTTCTATGAAGTTTATCACAATGTGAATAATTTAATATTCCAGGTGTTAAGTCACAACATTTCTGACTCAAACCAGAAGGTGGCCTTGGTTGTAAAGCTGAGTCAAGGTTTCCCCCCCCGCCTTCCCCCAACGGTCAAGGTCTTGGTTGGGGGGGGGTGAGCTTCCCACGCCCTGGTGCTGGCCAGCCGGCTTGTCTTGTTTGCTGTCTGTGGGCAGTCAGGAATTGGGGAACCGACCTTCATGGGTCCTTTGTAGGACCTCGTTGGGCCGAGATGCAGTTCTTTTGGCTTTGGTGCTTGGCGTGCTGGGTTTGGCCGGCTCAGCTCGACTTGAATGTTGATGATTCCGGTGAAGAATGTGCTGGCGGTCCTTGCCCAGCTTACCTCTAGCAAAGCCATCCTCTCGCCTGTCTCTGCCTGAGCAGATGTTCCCTCGCTTGGCCCAAGGTCTGACAGCTCCCATCAGAGCTCAAGAACGGGGGACTTTCTTTGGACCAGCCAGAACAATCCCATGCTAGCTGGGGGATTCTGGCAGCTGTCGTCCAAAAAAGAGCCTTCTTCGGAGCTCAGGTTCCCAAGCCCAGCTAGGCGTCGGTAGCATTTCTGTAACCCACTTAAAGGATCTTTTAAGTGGAATTTGTGCCAGGTCTCCTACTGGGGCGCCCTGTTGAGGATCAGGGCCTGATTTGGGCTTGAGGGGCTGTTCCAAGGGAATGATGTCTGAGTTCTGGGTAGCCTTATCTCAGCAGAGAAGAGTCAGTTCCGCCTCTGCAGTTGGCGCGGATCTCCTGAGCTGGATTTCAGGGGCCTGGGGCCAGTCTGCGGGAGGTGGACGGGCATGGGTTTCTTCCATTAGGAGGCACCAGTCGTTCGGGCATTATTCAGGGTCCGCTCGAGGTGTACGGACTGAGTCGGTTTGCTCGTCTAGTGCCAGAGGGGACAGCAAGCCTGACGGCTGCATAAACTATTTCGAGTTTGATTATTTTTTAACGGAACATGGAGTGGAAGAAATATATACATAATGTATATGCATTGTATATATTATACATATAAATGCACAGTTATTTTTGTATGTGTATTTCATGCCACATGATCTCTGCTGGCTACTATAAACGGACCTGTATGCTCTTTTAGCCCTTTTGAGTGGGAATTTTGAGTGTTTTGTAACTGCAGCAACCAGGAAACGGGGTTTTTTTAATTTTTCTTAAAAGTGCTCAAAAGCTGGCCCGCTGCCAGGAAGGCCGGCGGTCCTTTTTGCCAAACGTGCTTCGCTTTGTGTTCTTGAGCCTCACCAGTGGCTGCTTTGGCAAGGCATCTCTGTCGAGCAGCACGTCCCCTCCGCTTTTTGCCTGATGTCCATGTCTGTTGTCAAACCTGAATTTTTCATGGGTTTAAGCCTTGTAGAAACAACGATTTTTCAGGCACCTCTGATGGGTTTGCTGGGATATAAGCCTTGTGGACTGCAGTCCACTTCATTAGTTGCAAGGAGTCATCTCAGTCTGCTGGATCGCTCAGGGGTTTAGGTCTCTGACTGCACACCCAGAGGTTGGGAGTTCAATTCCCCGCTGGGGCTGGAGACTCGCTGATCCAGAGTGTCCCTTCTAGCTCAGCCGTTCTAAGATGGTTGTAAAAACACTCTCTAGGATGATTATACACCCAATGGACTGGGCTGCAGTCTGAAAAAGCTTATGCTAAAGAACCCGTGGAAACCTTTAGGGCATCGCAAGACTCTGTATTGTCGTCCTTGATGGCTTCACGTGTGGCCTCCAGAAGAAGCAGTGTTGCGCCACAAGGAGAACATCTCTTTTAAAAAAACCTCTTGTTTGGTCCCCTGAGGGTGGGTCTGCACCATCTGACTCCTCCACGGCCAAAAGTTCTGGACATCACAGTTTGAGGCTGCTGAGAATGGCTAGATCCTTACTGCCCCCCCTCCCTCCTCCCGTCCCTGGCCACTTTTCAGACAACACAATTTTCCGGAGAGAGGACGTTGCCATTAAACCGAGTTTGCACTGATGTGGCGTAGCTCTGTCGTCAGTTTGACAGGGGGCCGATCCCAGGGAAAGAGGGAGGGTGTACAAATGGCGGCAGAAATCTTGACACAAAGACAACAGATGGGCGACAGTCTCCCAACATCTTTGCTGTCTCACTGCAGCAGTAAGGAATGGACCAGTTGTAGCACATGTTCTGGGAAGGTCAGAGTTATCATCCTCTTGCCAGGATGATAAGAGCATTCCTCTGAGGGCTTGGAGGTACGTTGTATTTGTGTTTCTGGGGGTGATAGAGGGGTGGAAGTACAGATGCAACTTCTCACTTCTACTCCTGCAAGAGAAGGATGCTGAAGGCTTGACGTTCTGGTCATCTCCTGGGAAAACAGGCCTTGTCCAGGGGGTGGTCCGGCAAGCTGCTTTGGGAGAGTGGTGCCCTGTAGTACCAGCCCGACCCACGTTCGTGCAGTTTTTGTTCCTTCTGGGGAGTGAGAACGAGGCCTCTAGAAATGCTTAGGGTTGGATGGCTGAGGCGGGGGGGAGTTAAAAATCCAGATGTGCGTTCCAGAAATGGGCAGACTGTGAAGGATAGGAATTCAGCTCTGATGGTTGTCGAATCTTTGTGTAGAAAGAGCATGGCTCCTCACAGAGGTTGGTGTGCTCCCTGCTTCCAATAACCAGAAGCTGGAAGACTAGAAACCTACTCAGGCCAGGCGCTGAGTCTCAAGGCAGAGCTGACGTCTTCCTGTGCTACGAGAGGCAGCTTTCTTCTCCCACGGCGCTCGCTCATCTTCCAGAAACAAAAAGCCATTCTACCGTTCTACCTTGTGGCTCCTTTAAGAGTTCTGACGCCAGCCTCGAGTCCACTTCAATGAGCGGTGTTTAAAGAGGCCTCCGGAGTCTGTGTATGGCTGCCGTCATCTATTTGTTTAGAAGCCAAAGCAGTCCCTGGCTACATATATGGCTTCAGTCGGCTCAAGAGCCACGCGGTGCCGACTCTTGAAACGACAAGCCAGAAGACTTAAAAGAGGGGAGCTGCAAGAGGGGCCAGGGTGGTTAAATTGTTGGATGCGAGAGGCTTGGGTTCAAACCCCAGTCTAGCCACGGAACACCCTGGGTGACCTTTGGCTAGCCATGGTCTCTCAGCCTGTCTCCCCTCGCACGACTCTTGTGAGGTCTACGCGGTGAGGAGGTGAGCTGCGTCTGTCACCCCAGGCTCGCCGGAGGGAGAGCCGGCCGAAGGTACAACGAGCAAAGACGAAAAGTTTTCTTTGAGGGGACGTGGGTGTGGATTGGGGTTTGGAAAAGGCAGAGCCGGCTGTGCCGTGACCAAAACCCTCACCGCTGCATTGGGCCTGTGGCTCACAGAAACAAATCCCCCCCCCACTAGCTGTTTTGCTGCTGCTGGCGGGAAATGGAGTCCCAAATCCTCCAGGGTTGCTGAAGTCGCCGGCCCTGGTTTGGCCCCCTCCTGTCCTCTCCTCTGCACTTCTCCCGAAATGTTGATGGGGCCAGAAAATGTTAACTCAGCACCGGCTGGCTTTTTTTCCTGTCCGGGAAAGCGCTGGAACCCTCCCGCTGAGCTCAGCAAACAGCCCGGGAGGTTTGGAGGGAGAGCTGAATCCACCCCTCGAGGGAGGACGCCTGGAGGACAGCGAGCAAGCACCCCGGGGGTGGGGGGGTACAGAGAGAGAGGACCCATTGACCCCAAGCGGTCCTCAGCTCTCCTGGAAGCGGGAGCTTGCTGTGATGAAAAATGGCCCTTGCCACCCAGATTCCTTGGCCTTCTCCGACTGGATTCATCCCCTTCCTTATTCCAGAATCAGAGAGGAGGTGTCCAAAGCGAGGAGGGATTCTGGACTCACCACCAGAAACCTCCTACTGAGACACCCGAAGGTGATGCTGGCTGCCTGCAAAGCCTCGTTAAAAAAGGAAGGAGGGAGAGAAGGAAGGAAGGAGCCGGCTTGCGGGGCTTCTGCTCTGCTTAGAATGGTGCTTTCCAGGGTTCAAGCGGGTGGAAGGTCTGTCCTCTTGCAGAAGTGTTGCTTCTGCCCTGACCCTAGATCTAACCACCTGCCTTCGGGCCTGGGTCCTGCAGTCTCCGGCAAGAGGGAGGGCAGCAGCTGGATCTGGCCCAGCACCTCGAGTTTCCAAGTGTGGCGGTCTGTGACCTGGGCTGAATCCTCCGTCCTCGCCCTGCTGTGCAGTTAAGGACAGTTGGAGGGCATGGTTTCCCCAGCCCGACTGTCTAGAATCAACTATAGTAGGACAAAAAAAAACCCCTTTATTCATGGGGTCAGTATCCACCAATCCGCTTATGTGTGTTCTGAAAATATGAAAAGAAAAATCCTAGAAATATATATTTGTAAAGATGAAGTGACCAGAAGTGGCTGCAAGAGAAGAGAGCCAGAAACCATGTCATGTTGAGTGTTTTTTGTAATCTGCCTTTTTCAACATCCAGACGTGGAACTGATCCCCAGAGAAAATATATATTTGTAAAGATGAAGTGACCAAAACTGGCTGCAAAAGAAGAGAGCCAGAAACCATGTAATGTTGAGTGTTTTCTGTAATCTTCTTTTTTTCAACATCCAGGCGTGGAACTGATCCCCAGAGGCCATGGGGGTGGTCTTCCTGTAGTCCACGCTGCGCACGTACATGCACACATACGCATACACACACACACGTCTGTCTTACTGTAAGTACCAGGGACATGACTGCCATTTTTCTAACCCAAACCATATAGTCTCAAGACAGTTGCCTGCATTTAGCTCAGGAACTTGACCAAAGTTGCTAACAGACTCTACTCCCCTCAGAAATTCAGTGCGGCACCCTTCCGTTGGGTTTTTGAGTCTCGCTCGAGTAAGAAACGGGCTAACCACGGAGCAACTTCAATGTGGGGTTTCATTGCTTAAGGGCAAAAGGGGAAGGAAGGGCCCTTGGAGTGTTAAACTGCAGGTCCCAGCCGGCTCAGCCCAGGGTGTGGGAAACGCCAGAGGTGGTAAGCCCAGCAACCGCTGGAGGCCACATTTTGGCTGCCCCTCTTGCAGCAGGAGCCACGCGGTCTCCGGCAGAGATGCCAGCTCGGGGGCAGAGAAGGCAGGCCACAAAAAAGCTTGCTGTAAACTCGAAAAGCCTGGATTCGTGGCCAAGGGCCAGTGAGGGAAATGCTTCTTGGTGTGGGGTTCTGCGCTGGAGGGCCTCTGGTTGTTGGTAAGATGGGATGCTGCGCTCCGGACCACCTCCAGCGCTTGATTCTGAGAAAGGTGCCTTTGCTCACCGTCAGAAGCAACGGATGCCATGGAACCAACTTACCTCCCGTGAAAGGAAGAGAGGAGAGGGCGGCTGGGCTTCTTGAGCGCTGGGGGGAAAGCGCTTCGTTTGGGCCCCTTGAATCTCTCTCTCTCTGCAGTTAATTCTTCCCAAACAATCTGAAGTGACAGCCCCCGGCAGGCATGAATCCCAAGCTCTCTGCCTACCTATAGAGCGAAGCCTGGCTGCTCGGCAAAGTGAGCTGAGGCTCTTGCTGTCTCTTGCATCAGATTTTTGGGAGAACGGCTGTCGCCTGAGGGCCTCTTAGTCCCCTTGCATCACCCCCCCCCCCGGAAGGTGGCTGGCGCTCCGGCTGTTTAGCGCACAAGCTATGAAAGTGGTGTTCTTATCCAACAAAGCAGTCCGGAAAGTCACACGTTGGAAGGAACGGGCCTGGCTGTTAATCAACTACTTAAAAGATGATGGGTATAAAAAGGTAGAATCATAGAAAAGTGAAGTTGCAAGGGGGCCTAAAAGACCATCCAGTCCAACCCCCTGCTCAAGGCAGGAATACCATCCAAGCAGATCTGCCAGGTGATGATCTGAGTTTTTCTTGAATGCCTCCAGTGTTGGAGCGCCCGCCAACTCCCAAGGTCATTGCTTCCATTGTTGTACTGCTACAACTCCCATAGCTGGGTGGGGTCACGGGAGTGGTAGTCCAACCCCTTTGGAGGGTGCCGGGCTTGGGAAAGAGGCCCCTTCTCCCCTGTGACTTGTTGCCACTGATGTGGTAGCACATGGGAGAAGGATTGTGGTCTGTTGTATGTATCACATGCAGGAGGAGGAGATGTTAGGAAGTAAGCAAGGAAAGAGCAGGGCACGTGGGAGAGAGACAGAATTAAGTTGGAACCCAAATGTGGGTGGTACAGAATTGTTAGAAACAACCTCCTCTTCCGCTCCATGTGTAGTTTTCCTCTGGCAAAAAAAGGCTATTCAGCGTTACCCTCCTGCAGCGGCCCGTCGCTAAACCCTGCTATTTTGAGCTGCACCGCAAAGCCAAGCCATCAAGAGTGTCCGCATCCACTCCAAAAGGCAGCCAGCAAGGCTAAAACAAGGCGGTGAGAAAACTCTGCCTTCTCTCGAAGCCAAGCTCGCCCACTCCCAGCCAAGCCCCCACAGAGGGACGACTCGGAAACCCGTCTGCAGTTCAAGTGAATATAGCATTTATTGAGCAGCATTATCAATGCAGAATAGTTGGGACTAATTATTTGCAGTCCTAACGAACAACAGCTGTATTGGATTATGGGCCACTGTGCATCTATACAGAACGGAGGCGGAGGCTAGGCGGGCAGGCCGGCCCACCGATGCTACATAGTCAGCTCCTGGGAGGAAAAAAAGGGGGAAGGGAAGATCAAAGTCAGAAGGGAAGAAGGGGTGCCCCAGAGATCATCCCCCACCAAGACCAGCTGCCATGGGGGGATCCGTTCGCAGGGACAAACGGCATGTCCGTGACCCCCACCAACAGCAGGTCATCCTTGGGTCATCCTGGAAGTGGCTTTTTGGCAAAGCCCCCGCAGGTTGGCCACACTCCGCTCCACCAGTCCAGGAGTGAGGAAACCCACCTCTCTAGCCTGGGGTGGGCAACCTGGCTGCCCCGAGACCACCTGGGCTTAGCTCACCCCGTCCCACCGGTGGCAAGAAATTATGATCCAAAATATTCAAAGCCAGCAGCGTGCCGGCCCTGCTCTACGTGGAGACAAGGTGGTGGTTGAGGAAAGGGCAGCTAGCCCGCAGGGTGATTTCTGCACGGGGTCTCCCCCTCCCCTCCCCTCCCCCAACTGCCTGGACTCACCATAATGGCGTTCACAATATCGTTGTTGTTGTGCCGGAGAGCCCGGACAGCTTTGGGGCGCGACACGTTCGCCTGAGCCATGACCAGCTCAATGTCCCTCAGCTCCAGACCTGTTTCATCCACCTGGGAAGAGAGAAAGTGTGTGTGTGTGGGGGGGAGAGACAGCATAGGAAGGCACAACATCCCAGCTGAGGCTGTGGCCGTTGCCTGTGCCTTTACGGGGGGGGGGGGAGAGAAAGCATCCGAAGGCACAACATCCCAGCTGAGGCTGAGGCCGTTGCCTGTGCCTTTACACCCCTCCTTAACAAAGGGCACCCAGCCAGCCTTCTCTGCTGGTGGAAGAACCGTGGGACATGGTCTCTATCTCCCAAGCCCCACCAAGGAGGAGACACTTGGAAATCGCTGCCACAAGACGGCCTTTTTTGTGCCTCCCGGAGGGTGCACGGGGGGGGGCTTTTGCATGCACCCAGAAGGGTGCTCTGGATCTGCGCCTGAAAGAAACCTCCATCTGGGGACCGAGCACTTTTCTACTTTGCATTTTGCAAACCCGCCCAGGAGCAAGCGCTGGCAACGAGGAGAGAAGTGCATATCCCATCGTCTGGCATCCAGCCGAGAGCTTCCGAAATTTACTTCTTGGACTGTAACTCCCAGAATGCTAGCTGAGAGATTCAAGGAGACGCAGTCTGAAAAAGTAACTCCTCCAAGCTCTGGATCAGTCTTGTACAGAACCAATCACCCAACGCCTCTGACAGATCCAAAACAGGGGAAGAAGCTAAGACCCAATAGCAAGGGGTTGGGCTTGATGGCCTTACAGGCCCCTCCCGACATCATGATTCTATGGTGGCGCAGCTGCTTTCCCCACAGTATTCTGTCTGTCTGACTAAAATATTTATCTGTTGACATTCTCCTAAAGGATCCAAGGTGGCTGACAGTATTAAAAGAAACAAAGCGAAAAGCTAAATAAGTTATTACAATATTAAGAATAGCATTCAACAGATACCATATTAAAACTCACAGTACGAGCAATATAAAAAATGTCATTGGCTGGACAGACCAACAATCTGCCCCAGAAAAAGCCAGCTTATACTATGACTTCCCAGCAAAGGGAAAAACTTTCAAGACACATGGCTGAGAACTGAAGTTTGGGGAAAGTTCCTTATTGGACGACAATTCCCCCAAATCCTGGACGTTGTGTTCCAAAAACATTGCTTTACAGGGTCTGGCCAGATCCCCATTTGGGGCGCAGTCCTCTTGGTTCCCTCCCCCCCCCCGATTTTCCCACCCCTGCCGAGACACGGTCCGAAGGTTGTTGGCCCTGCCTTCTGGGGCTTTCCCTGTCCGCACCCACCCTGGAAGCACTTACCTCCTCTTCTTCCTCGCTCTCCTCTTTGATCGTAAGGGTGGGGGCCGTTTCTGTGATCAAAGGCGAATGCTCCATGGGCACCTTGAACTTCTCAGCCGCGGCTTTGTGGACCTGTTGCGAAAGGTCTTCGATCTGCAGAAAACACAGAGAGAGAGAGAGAGAAGGGAAGCTGAGGATCGCTCTCTTGGGATGTACAGGTCATGAGGAAGAGAGGCCACCAGGAATCTTAAGTGTCTTGGATCACAGGAACCATCCCCCTTCAGGAGAGCCATCTCTTAAGTGTCTTGGATCACAGGAACCATCGAGCCATTTGATCGTTTTTCACCTTTTTGTATGTTTTTATAAATGGTTGCAATGATTCTTCCATGGTAGACAATACAGCTACGATGTATAGCTTACAATACGATACCATTTTGCCCGTCAGGCTCTGTCCTACAGACGACCGTAATTTGTAGTTTGGGGAGGCACTTTTAAGTCTCTGCTTCAGTTCAGGAAAATGAGCGGGCGGATCAAAAGGTGAGCACCACAGCAGTAGAGCTTTACAGCAGAGAATCTCGAGTCTCACCAAACTACAAATCCCAGGGGTTCATAGGATGGAGCTGTGACCACGGAAGTCCTTTCAAACTACTGTAACTTTGCAGTGTAGATTGGGGTGCCCTATTTGGGTGTGAACTCCCAGAATTCCTCAGGCAGAATGCAGGAAGTTCCACCCCACAGACACAGGCCTACTTTTCACTCACCTGAAACAGGGCCTACCTTCCAGGCTGTCTCAGGCCTACTTCCTGTACAAAAGGAAAGCTGTCCCAGGGCTTCTTGGGAGGCTCTGGTCTTTGTGGGAAATGTAGTCTTGCTGTCCATTAGACCAGTGGTCCCCAACCTTGGGCCTCCAGTTGTTCTTGGACTACAACTCCCAGAAGCCTTCACCACCACCTTTGCTGGCCAGGATTTCTGGGAGTTGAAGTCCAAGAACATCTGGAGGCCCAAGGTTGGGGACCACTGAATTAGACTATGCAGGACCCCCCCAAGAACTACACTTCCCACAAAGACCAAGGCTTCCCAGAAAGCACTGAGGACACAAGGTTGGGGACCACTGCATTAGACTATACAGGACCCCCCCCCAGAACTACACTTCCCACAAAGACTACGGCTTCCCAGAAAACACTGAGGACGTTTCCCTTTTGAACAGGAAATAAAGGGAGGCCCTTTTCCAGGTGAGTGGAATGTAGATGTGGGTAGGTGTCTCTAGGTGTGTGTCTATAGGCTGGAACTCCTGGATAATTTTGGGAGTTGGGAATGAAAAACAACAAACAACAAAGGGCTTAACTGCTGTTAGCCACCCAGAGTACTGCTTAGGCATCAGATGGGTGGGGCAAAAATATAATGAATACATAAGATAAAGTGGAACACCTCTAGCACAGATCCAACCTCAATTATTTTTGATCCCACCTTTTTCCTTTCCCTGCTACCCACTGCCATCTTTTCTGAAATTGAAAGGCACTCCCAACCCTTGATTTATACTGGACTGGACGGTCAGAAGGTGACCGGATGGCCACTCTTCCCAAGATGCCATAGGGCTGGCTGACTATCTCCAGGGTCCGCACTTCCCTCAAACTTATACTCCCTCCCTCAGCATCTCACCTTGGCTTCTCCAAAGACAATGTAGATGTCCGAGGCCGGGCTTTTGAAGACATCTGGCTTGGTGATCACAAACAAGATGTTCTTTGATTTGCGGATCGTGATCCTGGTGACGCCGTGGATTTGCCGCAACCCAAGCTTGGACATAGCCTAGAAGAGTTAAGAAAGTGACATGAACATGATCTGGTTAAGCACCCATCAGGCTAATTCAAAGCCAAAACAGTTGAAATAAAGCCATGTTCAAAGAGGAAGAGGTTAACAGACACAAAACTGGTAGACACAGCCCTCGGGAGGTCCAGAATACAAAAGTGGCTACACCCAACCTGTAGGTCAGGCTGTCATTAGGACTTATCTTTGTCAAGCTGGGCAGGGAACACATTCATGCCTGGATATCCCCAAGGTTGTACTACCTGAAAATACGAGAGGGGCATCGGAAAACCTGGGGAAAACCTCAGATTCAAAGCGATCAAGTGACGGGAAGCAAATCCCTTTCATCGGAAAAGGCTATCAGGCTTGAGGTTTGGTTTAGAAAGAAGACAAGAAAGGGAAGCGGGAGTCATTGAGTTCCATGAAATTAGACGAGGAAGATCAAGGCAAACGGGACTAATAAAGGAGATGTGGGTCTAACGCTGAGTGCCAAAAGGAAATACGATTATAAGCCACCCCTATAAGCCTCTTACTGGAGAGGACAGTAAGAGCCCTCTGGGGTAGACGCTGGTGGGAAAAGAAAGGCTGCAACCGCCAGCTTCAAGAAACCATGTGGGCAAACGGGCCCTCGATCCAGGGGCTCATAGTGAAGGAGAGGAAGCGTGGGCTACGAACTGAGCGGGTTGGCCACCTAGCGCATCCTCCATAGAGACCGAAGCTGTCCTGGTGATCGGAACTCGGGAACGGTCCTCTACTAAAGAAAGAGTCATGTCGGGAAGTGGGGATGATGGACTTCACTTGTGATGTTTTGTTATCTTCTTCCCTCTTTCCAAGTTTTCATAAGCCCTGCCCAGTTTTATTGATCGCCTCTTCCTTATGTGGATTTAAAGATGGAGAGTGTTAATCTAACCGGAAGCCCAGGGGCTAAAGAGGTTCAAACTCAGACCTCATCTCCTCTGCCAGCTCGGTTCTGGGCAGGGCATAGCATGGCTGGGACCCCTGCAAAGCCAACGGTGGCGGCTGGGCAGGTGTCATAAGCAGGACTAATCCCTTGAGTCCACAAGGAAGGCAAGGCAGCTTTATCCTTGCTCTAATCCGTTCCTGCCCCCCACTCAGGGCAGCTGTCGCCAACACTGCAAGGAGTGGCACCAGACCGTCTGACCACTGCTTGCCAGGATTCGTATTGTATCCCAGTTGGTTCCAAGGACAGGTCAGCAGAACGCCATCACGGAGCCAAATCCAAACCAGACTGTGTCATCACTGAACGCCCCTCAAGACGTGAACTTCTCATTAGGCAAGAGTGGCAATAAAATGTTGTTGCAGGTCAAAATCCTATTGCTGTGCATGGTGAATTGCACTAGAGTAGGCCCACTCATGAGAAGAGAAGACTCCCTGGAAAAGACCCTGATGTTGGGGAAGTGTGAAGGCAAGAGGAGAAATGGATGACAGAGGATGGGATGGCTGGACAGGGTCATCGAAGCGACCGTGAATCTGACCCGGCTCCAGGAGGCAGTGGAAGACAGGAAGGCCTGGCGTGCTCTGGTCCGCAGGGTCACGAAGGGTCGGACACGACTAAACGACTCAACAACAACAACAAGGCCCACTGAATCAATGGGGATTGGGCGAGTCAACTCCTCTGTAAGTGCCATTGGTTCAAAAGGGCCTCCTCTGACTTTGACTTACTATGCTAAAGTCAGTCCCAGTTAGAGTAGACCCCTTTTAAATCAATGGAGCTTGCAGAGGCGTTGACTCACCAACTCCTCATTTACTCTAGTGCAATTCACTACACTAAGCAGCAAGATTTTGGCCACTGCTGGAGAATCACCCAGGTGCCGTTTCCTAGCCTGTTTCCCTGAATTAAAAATTGCAGGCACGCATCCACACTGGAGCAATGGAAACGGAAAAGTCTCTAAAAATATTTTGGCATTGTTTGGGTCCTCTTATGTAGATAGGTTTTTTTAACATTTGCAAACTGTGTAAGACCTAATCATGGGGGAAGTACAATAAATACTTCTTCTGTGAAATATATCATGACACATAGTGTCATCGGTTTTCATGTGACTGTTTTATATATTGACCGCCGAGGCCATGTTCTCTGAGGGGATCCTATCAAAGCTTCACCTGCAGCGGTCTGGGGAATTACTCTGATTCATGGGAATGACTGGCTTCCCATTTGCATCCCCTGCTCTAGACTCACCTTCCGCGCCTTCTTTTCGCTCCGACTCTGTTTGGCTTTGCTGATGGATTCTTCGCCTGTCCCCAAGGAGTGTGTCAGCTGAGCCTGAAAGGGGCAAGAGCAAGCTGAGGCAAGCCTGAGCAGATCTCCAACCTCCCAGAAAGAGACCGTCTGGATTCAACGGTCACTGAGAAGAACAACCAAGCTGAGGTGTCCTCTGCACATGCTCAATGGTGCTCTATCCAGAGCTTGGAAAAGTAGATTTAAAAAAAAAACAGACCATAGAATCATCCTATCCCACCCAGCATGGCCACTGGCAATGCTCACTGGGAGAATCTGGAAGTTCTAGTAACTTTCCCAAGCTCTTTTGAGTTCTCCTCCTCAACACCAAGATCATCCTAGGCTATTTGAATCTTTTATTTGTCTAGACTTGTGCCTCTCATTGTTGAGTAAAGCCAAGCCTACTAAAGGGGGCAAAGCTTACAGTTTCTCCCAGATCCCCAATACAAGAAGTCTCCTGCCCTCTGAATCCTTCCTTCCTTCAGAATCCTCTCTCCCTTCCACCCTTTTCCTTCCTTCCTTCCTCTCTCCATCCCTTCCTTCCTCCCTTTCTTCCTGTTCCTTCCTTCCTTCCTTCCTTCCCTTCCCCTCCCTCCCTTCCCCTCCCTCCCACCAGCCTTCTCTCCCTTCCAGGCCCAAGTACCTGTGATTGAGCTGTCCGTGGTTCTGAAACCTCCGGCTCTTCTAGTTCAGGTATTGACCCCTCATTGCTTTCCGAGTCATTCGAAGACCCTAAAAGGAAAACAGAGCAAGGACCGGCATCATTCCCTGAGGATCCCAGACTGGAGGCTGAGTGAAAAGCCAACCTCCCTTCCCATGGTGGCCTCCTGTGCTTTCTCTTCCTGTGCTCCGGCACCAGAGGAAGAAAGCCCAACACCATGCATGGAATTCATTTAACATTTTGCAAAAGGGAAACTGCTTTTATCGTGACCTTCATCGAATATCACTGAAAAGATCTCACTCTGTCACCCAGAAGGAAAACCAGTACTTCCCAGGTCACTGCATTGTATCTGGGCCCTAGACTTGGCCCATCTCCTAGCCGGCCAGGCACAGAGGCTTCACCTTTGCATCTTAGACACCAGAAACGTCCTACACAGCAGCACACCTCCGGTTGGGCCTTACGTGATGGGGAACTCAAGCAGGGCCCTAGCCCATGCCATAAGAATGGTGGAAGGAGGTTGTGGTCACCTTTATGGTTGGCCTCGTGGCCTCTCTTCCCCACCAGCGGCTTCTTCTCTTCCAGCAACATCACGCCGGTGGCCTCCTTCAGACTCTCCATCTCTGGGCAACGGTAGGAGAGGTCCCTTTCCCCGGAGGAGCTTGACTCCAGCTGCAGAGACCCTCGGTCAGCCCGCCTCTCCACTGCAGAGGCCGAGGCCTTCCCACGGACATCTTTGTTGCCGGGCAACCGGTTCCGGCCTCTGGCGTCTTTGCTACTGGGAAGTAGGTCAGGCTGGCAGGGCCCAGGGGGCCTGGACTTCTCAAGGCCTGAGGAAAGGGAGGGAGGGGGGTGGAATAAAACTTCAGCATCCTTTCCCCACCTCCGATGGCTTGACCTTCAGGGCCTCAAATCATGGTAGTGAAAGGTGGCGTTCCAACGGCGGTCCCCCACATCTCTCTCCCCACTTGTGTAAGGCATGGTGAACAAGAGCCGGGAGCCAGGAATGGCCACTACTCTTGAGCAAGGCTTGGAGAAAAATGCTTTTTAAAGGAGGCAGTTTCCAAGACTCCTCCAGGCAATGCATGGACCATTCAGCATAGGGGAGATCTGGAACATGGCTCAGAAAAAGCCGGGGGCATGGGGAGAGAGTCTCACGAACTTCGCTGGGAAGGTTTCACGATTGTTAAAGGCCTCCACAGTCTCCTTGCTGAATATGCCAAATTTAAAAAAATAGCTGGCTTGGTATCTGTGGTGCACAGGCAGGTGGGGGTCCCAAATGTGTGAGAGCACCCCCCAAGCAATCCAGTGCCCCCCTCCCATACCATAGGGCCCAGGCGGTGGCTTCCAGACTATGGGGAGAATTTACTGCACAACTGGATTTTCTAAATCCTTTTCATTCTCCAGGATACCTCCCTTGTCATGCTAGCCCAGAGGCCTTGTAAGAGATTTAAAGAGGTGAGGCTGAAATCTGGAAATGCCAAGGAAATGCCCCCCTCAGCCTTGTCTGGAAGACGCCACAGAAAAAGAGGCTGGAGGCATTAAATGGTCAAATACACCATGTTGCTAATGGACCAAAGGCTGCATTCATTTATAGTCAAGGCGGGCATGTTTCCCATCAAGAAGTGGCTCCAGGAAGAGTTGGGGGGGATGCAAAAATGGCTTGGGGGCTGTATCAGCTCAGAAGCTACACATTGCCCACCCCCAAGTTACAGAAATGTGATTGCGCAGGGCTAGAGCGCAGGAGCAACCTAATGGCACCCAGAACAGGGTTATCTGGGGCTGTTGGTTTGGGACCGGGCAGTTCGGGGCACCAGAGGATCACAGGTGTGCTCCCCCTCCCTCCTCTTGTGTTCACAAGGGTTAGTCAGCCCTTTTGGGCCAGCACTGCAGGAAAAGGCTGAGTTTTATTCCATTCTCTCCTTCCCTAAAACAGGGAGAAGTGACATCACGGGAGTTGGAAAACAAAGCAGACTTTGGGGGCAATATCGTCCCTAACGTGTGGCACTTTGGGTTTGGGAAGCTTCACCCGCTCTGCTATTCCCCCTTTAGTGGAAAGCCCTCCCCACTGCAACATGGGTAAATCTTGCTGCTCAGGAGGGTCTACCACAGTGGGCCACAGTGCATCCCCCCCCCCAAAAAAAAACCCAGGAGGGACACTAACAGAGCAGTCATGGACGGGAAATCCACCTCTCTATCTCCCATCCCTAATCAGAGATTCTAAATCCCTTAAACTGTCGAGGTCCCCATGAATCTTAAGTCCTAGTTCACCCTTGGCCCTGTGACCTCACAGCAGGTAAGCCAATGGCAGCCAGAGGATCCTCGGGGCCCTTCAGGGGCCCGGGGCTCTCAACACACCCACATGGATCACACACAAACAAACACACCCCACTGCAGTTCTCTGACCCATGAGGATACAGAGCAACACAGAAAAGGCCCAACGCCACAATGCCTAGAGAGGTGGATATCCCGTCCAGGTAACTGTGTTACCTGGACAGCCATAGAGGCTGATGGCCATGTTTAATGTTCTGATTCCAGTGGAGGAAACAGGATTTGGGGGTGTGGCGGGGCTCACCTTCCACAGGCAGATTTCTGGAGTCCTGCAGGTGGCATGGGGTGTCTTTGGAAGGAGCGTGTTCCTCTCCGAAGCCCACGGCGGCAGGAGCAGGGAGCCACGGAGCAGCTGCTGGGCCTGGCAAATGGCCCTCCGAGGGAGGCAGGGGTGGCGTAGCAGGAGGAGGCACTTCTTGAGGCTCAGGACTTGGAGAAGGAGGTGGCGAGACGGGCGTCTCTTCCACAACGGGAGACCCGGGGGCCTCGGTCTGCAAAACGGGAGCAGCCAGAGATTCTAGAGCGGTGGTGGTGGTTCCCAAGGGAGCCCGTGGCCAAGGAAGGGCGGCATCCGTGGGCAGGAAGTCGGTTTCCAGAGCAGAATCCTTTGTGACTTCAGTAAAGCCGTGGGAGGCGGTTTGTTCTGCTTGCGCTTCTTCCTCCTCCTCTACCCTGAGGTGGCCGGGCTGCTCCTCCACGAGAGCTCTTGATCCCACCTCGTCTTGTATCTCCCGGATTCCTTCCTCTGCCACCACATCAGCTTCCGGACTCTGGAACGGCAGCTCTTCTTGCTGGCATGGCCTTCTCTCGGCCACTTCGGCCTCCTCTCCCTGGCCTTCATCCGGCATCAAAATGAGACCCTCGTGAGGCTGCTCATCGCCTCCAGGCCTGGAAGTGGCCAGACGGTTCAGAAGCGTATCCTCCACCTCTGACGGGTTGGGAACACCCTCAGCTTCCAGCAGCGTCTCCGGCCTCTCCTTTCCCAGGTCGTCTCTCCCCGTTTCCTCCTCACGAGCCGGCAGGGTGTCTCGGTCTCTATCAGCGGCCGCATCACTGGAACCCTGAGATGATAACGGCTCTTCGCCAGAATCTTTTGCCTCCGACCACTCCGGCGTGAGCTCTCCGGAGGAATTCTCCACAGCGCTCCCCTTCAGGCTGCCAAGGAGGCTTTGGGCTTCTGCTACTAGCTGGCTACTCATGAGTCGAACCGCTCCTGCTCTCTGCTCCTTCAGGTTCCCAAAGGAGCCTCGCAACATGCTGGTTATTTGCTGCTGGTCTGCAACCCGGTCAGGAAGCTCAGCAACCGCCGCGTCGCTCTGCAACAAGGCACCAGGTGGCTCAAGCGGGCAAGGAGTGGCTGGCCCGCTTTCCAGCACCACGGTTTCAGAATCCACCAAGGCTGTGTCCACGTCCACGGCCTGTGGGTGTCCTGCAGCCTCGGCACCACCCATGTCTCCCGTTCTACTGGAAAGGGCATCTTTGGGCTCAGTCAAATATATCTCCTCCTCAGAAGCAAAGAAGACCTGTTGGTTATCATTAGACATGGTCGGGGGATCTCTTTGTGTCTTGGAACGCCGTGAGGCAGCTGAGGAGGAAGTCTGGGCGAGAGCTGTGTGATGCAGGCACACTGCCAGCGTCTGAGGAGAAGGACCCTCGGCTGAGGAAACTTCCAACGATACAGGCACAGGTTCAGCCTTGCCATCTTCAGGCTCAGATGCTGCCGCCTGTTGCTCTTGTGGAGAAGGTCTCTCCTCCACCACACGGGCCGGGCTGCCCCACATTTCCTCGGGAGTCTTAAGTGCCTCTCTTTTGGAGTCCGGAGAGGCAGTGAGCACCACAGTCTCCATCGAACTACCTTCAGCCGCTGTGAAGAAGCTGGAATCTGTAAGAGACTGGGATGGGGAGACGTCGGGCGGCTCTGAAGAAGAAGAGGAGGAGGAGGCTTCCAAATCTTCTCCCTGGAAGGTGACTTCAGCCCGTGAAACGGGCAGGAGGCCTTGAAGGAGCGCTTCCGCAAAGGTCTTCTTATGGGCCTGCTGTGCAGGGCGACAGGAGACGTCACCCTCCCGCTCTAGGGAAGATGTTGCATTTACGTTTTCTGCGGTTTCTGAGGAAACTTCATCTCCCTGAGCTTTGGTGTCCAAAGGCTGGCGGTCATCTGGAGAAGGCGGAGATGCAGCCGGTTCCAACCGCACCCCCTCACTTTGGACCTCAGAGCTTTGCTGATAAAACAGCTCAACGTCTTCGGTGGCTGCCCGAGGTGCTACCACTCCCATCCCTCCAACCACAGGCACCCGGGAGCTGATCTGGCCGGTCACCTCCATGGCCATGGGCACCCCTGGATCACTGTCTCCTTCACTGGGCCCTGCCTTTTCACTAGCATCTGCCACCAAGTGTGTCTCGCTGCCCATCCCGCTGACCACGGGAACACAAATCATCTCCTCGCTCTCAACCTGCACCAAGTTCATGTTATTGTCTGTCACGACAGGAGGGCATTCAGGGGCCGAGGGCCGAGCATCGGTTACATCCTGGACCACTCCGGCTCCCGATTCCAACCCCCCGGCGTCATCCCTGGCTGGATGTTCAGCTTCAAGAGGGTCTCTAAGGGGAGCATCTCCTTCCACTGATGCTGCCCTCCTGCACTCTCCACTTTCAAGTGCTGAAGCAGTGTCGTCTTCCGCAGCCTCTTCTTCCTCTTCAGAGGGAGTTCCCCAGTTCTGGCCAGCCTCATCCTCAGCGGGCAACTCTTGGGGGTGCTCCTCCAACTCTTCAGCCGCTGCCTCTGGCCGGTCTTCGGCGGCGCAGACGTTTTCCCCAAGTGGCTCCGAAGTTTCCTTCCCATTCTCAAAGGTTTCCTCAGCAGGAGGACCCACAGCACAGCTGCCCATCCCTATCGGTGGTGGCAGCTCACCAGGCTGAGCCACCCCGACGCTGGCATCTTGGGCATCGGTGGGCACTTGGGTGGTTGGGTCGTCCCCTTGGGCCCCTTCCTCACAAGGAAGATGTCCTACGTGGGGGCCCCTCTCCAGCCCTCTCTGCCTCCCACATAAGCTCCAACGGTGGTCTTCAGGGGGTTCCTCAGCCTCCGTGTGGGGCGGAGGAGTCGGCCCAGGCGGTGGCGCCTCCAACGGGAGGTCGTGAGCTGCCACAAACACGTCCTCCGGTGTGTCGTTGAGTCCCGTGAGGGGCTGGGAGTCCGTTTCCGCCTCCAGAAACATCACCACCGCATGGTCGTTGTTGTTCATGTGGTCGAGGGAGGCGGCTTCCTCAAGTTCGTCTTCCGAATCGAAGCAGGCGATGAGGCACTCCTCGGCCGGCTCGCTGTCCGCTCGGATCACTTCGGGTTGCTCCAAACTGCCCACCTCAGACACCTCAAGGAGAGAGGCAAACAGCGCTTCCTTCTTGGGTTCTGCGTCCAACCCTCCTCCGTTGGGGCCCCCCGGCTCCACCGGGTCCTCCTCCTCCTCCCCCAAGGCCTCGTCTTGGTCCAGGAGTTCCAGCAGTTGCTCCTCAGACTCTTTCAGCTTGGCACCAATGTCAAAGGCAGCCGGGTCGTTGGCTTCCCTCACGGCCAGCTCCACAGGGTACAGCTCCGATTCCCATCCCAGAGGAATGGCCGCTCCTGGACCTCCTGGGACTACCCATTCTTTGGCCATCTGACCCACGGGTTGAGGCTCCCCTGGAGATTCCTCCAAAGGAGGTAAGGGGTCTGATTCCTCATCGGTATCAAAGCAGGCAATGAGACACTCCCCAGCAAGATCAGGGGGACCTTCCTCCGGGGCCTCTTCGTTCTCCGAGAGAGGCTCAGGCTCGGGAGAGGCAGAGTGGGAACCCCTCCCTCCTGGAGACCCTTCCTCTTCCTCACTTCGTGCTCTGGAACCCAACAGGGCAGGAACAGCTGCAGAGGTCTCCTCCTGCTCTGGAGGAGACCTCTGGCATTGCAGAGAAGGAGAAGTGCTCCTCCTTCCTGAACGTTCAGGTGAGTCGCCTGGGCCTCTCAAGAGTGGCTCGGTTTGCAGCACGGTGGGAGTCGCCACCTCCATGGGGCCGTGAGCAGCTTCTTTCTCCTGGGGCACCTCTTCCCCTCTTGGGTCTCCCCCCTGGAAGGAGCCTCTCTCCTCTGCTTCTCCCTCACCTTCCTGGGGCTCTCTGCATGCCACCAAAGAGGCTTCGTCGTCCTCTGAGTTGTACGGCTCCGACGAGGTTTCCATCTCGCTCTCGCTGCCCGAGCACGGCTCTTCCTTGGTTGGCGCGGCCTCTTCGTGGGCAGCTTTGGAAACCACGGCGTACTGTTCCACGCTGTACCGGCGCTCATCCTCCTCTCCGTTATAGGAGGCAGAGTCAGAGGACTGAGAGGTGTCATCCCGGTAGGCGAAGGACTCGTCCACCCCTTCGTGGATGGAGGCTTCCGAGAGAGAATGGAGGAAAGAGGCCGACGTGCTGTCTTCCTCCTCCTCCTCCTCCTCCTCACTGTAAAGGACATCATTTCCCACCGCTTCCCCTTGTGGGAAGAGGGTGATCTCTAGGGACTCTGCCTCAAAGAGCAGGCTCCCCCGAAAGGGCAGCAGCAAAGCCGAAATCATCGGGTCGTTCTCCGCGTTCTCCACGCCATCATCGGGAGAAGAAGCCACCATCTCTGCTCGTGGGTCGGGCGCCTCGGTTGCAGGTAGAGGCCCGGAGGAGGCGTCGAATGAACAGGGCCAGGCGCTGGGTTTCGCCGGCTCCCTGGCTCCTGCTTCGTCAGGAGGCAAGCTCTTGGAAGGGATGACAGGGCGGCCCGACGGGCCGGAAGTCAGTCTGTCTTCGTCTTCCTCGGACTCTTCTCCACTCTCGGTCCAAGAGAGTTTGACCGGCTCCAGCTTTGGAGGGACCAGGGCGGCCATGTCAGGGTCCCAGGGGTCATCTTCTTCTGGAGTCGTCTGCCCCTCGTCGTCGTCCTCGCCCTCCTCGTCGGCCACAAACGAGGCGTGGACTCCATGGGGCGAGAGAGTCTGGAAGGTCACCTCTCTTCCCAGCTCAGGGGACAGGCCAGGAGCCGCGGCCGGCGGCCTCGGCGGTGCTCCCTCGGCAAGCTCCCCCGCCCCCTCGGCAGCCTCCTCCATGGCTTCGGACTCGGCCATCAGGTTGGGCGAGCAAGAGGGGGAGGTGCTGGCGGTGCCGGACGAGGCCCAGCTGCCCCCCTCGGCAGTCATGTAGGACCCCGAGGGCGAGGTGGGCGGAGAGCCGAGGCCCTCGGCGTCCATGTCGTGGTGCTCCTCGCCGGAGCCCTCTTTGGAGAGAGGAAGGTGCTGTTGAGCGTGGGGTGGGAGCGGCCTGAGGGGCGAGAAGCCGACCCGGATGGGGGTCGAGGGAGCCGTGAAGTAGAGCTCCGAGTCCAGGCCCCCAAAGGGGATCTGAAGGGGCGCGGACTCCGAGGGAATGTCTTTGGAGATCACGGGAAGAGGGAAAGGCACATCAGCCCTGAGTTCGCCCTGAGAGATGCTGGAGGGTGACCCCGCGGCCGGGGCCGGGGCCACCAGGGCCTCAGGCTCTTTGTGCTTCTGGAGGTCAGGCAGGGAGAGGATGATGCTTGGGTCTCTTGCGGCCGGAGGGGAAGGCTCAACCAGGAGCTCCTCTGCTCCCCATAGGACCTGACCAGTGGTGCCTTCCTCCTCCTCCTCCTCCTCCGCCCCCAAGCCGATGGTCAAGACGTCAGCCTTGGCCTGCTGCCCAGCCTCTTCGGCCTCCTCTTCCTCTTCGCTCAGGCACTGGGTCTCCTCCCCCATGACGATCCGGGTTTCCAGCATGTCCTCCCCGGGAGGTTCCCCTGGACCTTTGGAGGCCGCTTTGCTGGGCTGGGGGGCCTCTTCTTCTTCCACCCTGACCTGCCCACATTCACTCAGGGCCACCAGGCACGCCGTGGCATTGCTGACTGCCATGTCGCAGCTGGCCCCTTCCGGCTGAGGCCGGTCTTCCTTCTTGGTGGGTCGGAAGGCCAGCATGTTTTTGCTGCACAGGGTGGGATCCACCGAGGTTTCCGCCTGGAAGTCGGGCGTCACTGCTGGGGAGAACTGGAGGGGTGTCAGGGCATCGCTGCTGGGCGTGGAGGCTGGAGAGTTGCTCCGAGAGCCATCTATAGCAAGGAGAGAAATTGGGAGGGGGGGGGAGAGAGAGAGAGATCACTGGGAAGAAGTGCGACTCAAAAGCTCCTCACAGCAAGCTGGAGTCAAGACCTCCGTCCTTGGGCACAAGGTCTTGCCAAACACAGCACCAACTTCAGCTGCAAGATTTCAAACACAACGGTTGGAACAACCAGACCCCTAAGATTGCCATCAGATAAAACACCAGCTGATTTTCTCCCCCAAGTTCACAACTTGGCTGGTCAGGAACGAGCAGGTGGAGGTAGAGATGAAACCAGCCACTCATCTTACGTTTTTGCAGCAACGCAGAGAAAAAAACCAAGTGGTGATCGCTAGACACTGAGATGGAGGTCCTCAAACAGAGCTCGAAAAGGTTTGTGGGGAATTTGTTTTGGACTCCCCAAATGCTGGCTGGGGGGGGATGATTCTGGAAGCTGTACTCAAAAAAAAAGGGGGGGGAAGCTTTCCAAGCTCTGGATTTGCTTATGCACTCCCCTCTCGGCTTGCAATCAGCAGCTGATCCATCCTGAGACCCTGCAGAACTGGTCTCCCTCTGCCAAACCCTTTCCTTCGGAGATTGAGGAGAGAAATGGAGCCCCTCCGGTCTTGTGCGGTGCCACCTTCTTAGTAGGTCAGCACATTTGTGACATTCCATGACCCCCTGACAGCCAAAGGAGGTAAGACTTGGGCAAGGTGGGTCCTGTTTGCAATATATTAACACCAGTGTTCTTACCGCTCAGTGCCTCCACATCAGGAATAGGGAGCAGCTCAAGTCAAAAGCGTTAAAATAAAAGCAAAATTACCTACTAAATGCATCGGGGGGGGGGCAGCCCATAAAGATCTCCAGATCTGTTTTCAGAACAGATTGAAGCTAGAGGTGAGCAGATTTGGGTTTTTGGACTGGGGGACCCTCATCCAACCGCACTGTCCACAAAACAGACTCTGTTGCTCAGAAGCACAGCAAACAGAACAATCCATTCTCAGGGAAGGCTGGCGAGACACTCGACAAGCTTTTAGGATGAGGCTTTGCTTTGGCCCGGAGCCTAAAAGCCTTCCCTTAAAAACAGCTGGGAATGAGATACAGAATTCTGCATCAATATTCAAGCCAGATCACCCCTCGGGGCTTTTATGCACTGTAAGAAGGGCCCGTTATGGCTTTTTAAGCATCAGTAGCCAGTTAGGAAAAGTAGCCAAACGTTGGACTCCATCTAATAGCATCGCGTTGCTGTTACGGAAAGAGAAAGGTTGGCTACCACAAAGAGAGTCACTCCCCGGCTTCTATTCCAGCCTCCTCCAGAGATATATGGCCTGCCGTCTAAGCGAGCAGGTTTTCGAATCACACTTCGGGAAACTGGGCACCATTTTACCTGCTAAGCTGTGTGGCTCTAGTCCATTTACGGACCCTCCAAAATGCAGGAATCCTCCTGTATCCCGCTAAGGGGCACTGAAAACAGCAGAACCTTGGCTAAGCCCTCACTGTGTTTTTGGGTCGCCTGCTTTGAGTCGCATCTTGGAAAAGTGACATTTTTGGAACACAGCTTCCAGAATCCCCTCCCAGGTCATGTGACCACAGAAAAGTTATTTCTTTGGGCTACCTGTATCCATCCTGGGAGGGGAATTCGGAGGTGTGAATTCCCCAAGATCAGGGCTTGAGCACCAGGGGTTGGGGGAATCATCCCGCGTCTTCTGACACTCTCCTCCCTCTCTCCCGGAACAGCCTCCCAGAGGGATCCCCTGCCCCCAGTATTGATCTGGGCAGTCCTACTGATGGGCCGGCGAGTGATTAAGGAGCACTTTGAACACATAAGGCCATAAATCGGTATTGCTTAACTCTTCGTTTTAGGGGTAAGGCAAGGCCTGGGAAGAGCTGCCAAATCTGATGCTTGCCTGCACAGATGGGAGAGGCGGGTTGTTCACCTCTTGGGCAAAACTGATGCTAAGGGGCTCGGATGCTTCTCTCCCTTCTGCCCCTTGACCCAGCCCAGCCTCCAGAGACCTAGCTGCAATTGTAGAAGCAGCGCATGGCCACTGCCCTCTCGGCGCAAGCTCTCTCTCTCCATCCCCTCTTCTGCCATGCACAAACCCCTCCGTTCCAGTCCAGGGGGAGAGAGAACCCCAGGGAACCTCAGGGACTTGCCGCATGAAAACTGTTCCGCTTTCATACCAAAGGCGAAGAAATGTTGTGAGCCGTCCAGACGGTTTGACCAACACACCTCAGAAATTCCAAACCAAATGTGGAACATGGTCAGGGCTGGTGGGTATTTTTAAGGGCTCGTCTGCTGGAGGTTGAGGGGCTTTGATGGAGGGGCGTGGGAAGAGAATCATACCGTAATGGAGTTGGAAGGGGCCTCTAAGGTCATCCAGCCCAACCCAAATCAATCTCTCCAGCATGGCCGTACTCACAGTTGGGGGTCCCTTTCCCCCACGGATATGGAATCCCTCACTCCAGGCTTCCAGATCTGTTTTAATTTTTCCTTAAATGGAATCTGGATTCTTCTGAATTGAATTTCCACACCTTTCTTTCTCCTCCCACCTCTTTCCCCTCCTTTGCTTTGGTGCCCTCCCTACTTTCTTGCTTCGTTCCCTCCCATGGGTTGGGGGGCAATTAAAGGTAGAGCTCTCTCCCACGGATGGAGAATTTCAACTCCCTACACTCCATAGGAACCAGGTTGGTTCAGGCCAAGGAAAAGACAGGGCTGACACGATCTGAATTGATCCTTTTAAACAGTTATAAAACACACACAAAAAAGGCAGGCAGGAAATCCTGAAATAACAGGGAAGTGGAAGCAATGGGTTTGAGTCTCCTGTGCAGTCAATGCTGGTTCGTTAAATTAATGTGAATCAATGGGTGATGGGAGCACCACTTTGACAAAGAGCGAATAGGGTGCGTGGATGAGCCCTACTTCTGCACAAAATTGAAAACGTGCTTGTGGGCCGTCTGCCCCTATTCTTTATCAAGACAGGAATGGGTTCAGGATTTTTGTATAGGCATCTGCCTGGAGGGGGGCAGAACTTGAGGGGGGTACACATCAGGGCTTATCTGCTCAACAGCTGAAAGAAAATAAGATAAATCTGTTCACTGGTAAAGCCGGCAACGATGCAAGCCTTGCAAACATTACTTCTCTGGAAGAAGAAACCCCAACACGCAGGCTGCCATCCTCTCCCGTGGGCGTCCGACTCAAATGCAAAGCGAGATGGCCTTCCATCACCCATGCATGAGCCTTGCCCAATACAGAATGTGCATCAAGCTAACAAGAAAACCGTACTAGGGGCACCCTAATGGGACCTGATGGCAAATAAAAAACTTTTTCAAAAACCACCCCTTTTTGCATCTGAAAAAGTTGGCTGCAGTCCCTGAACGCTCCTGACCAATGAAACTTGTTAGTCGTTAAAGGTACCAGAGGGTTTTCTGTTGTTTTAACTTCCTAGTAGGTAAACATGTCTTCTTGAATAAGAGTTCGGGTCAATTTGTAAGAACACAAGCAAACAAGCAAGCAAGCAAAAAAAAAATCACCCATACACGTAAAAAGAAACACCATCCCTTAGAACCGAGATACTTTGATCTTTTGGAACAAGCCTTCTCTAGCCTCAGGATGCGTTTGGTGACAACGTGCAGAAACTCCCCCGGGGTCATGCGCTCCTGTGCAGAACGGCTGAATCAGCTCTCTCTGGAGAGCCATTGATTCACGAGAGATAAAGAGAAGCTTCATCAGCACCTCAAGCAACGCCACCTGGACCAGGTCAGACTAGGATTACTGGGGAGATTAGCACCTCGAGCAGATGCACCCCACCCCCACCCCCGAAAGCAGCAAGGTAGCAGAGGAGCTTAGAAGAAACGACCCACAGAGTGAATGAAGGGGGTTGAAGTGTGAAAGCTGAAGATGTGGCAGGGTTTGGGGGAGGCGGAGAGAGAGAAGCAGAAGGTGATTTATTCAGTACGGGATGGCCATCTGCTCCCATCCGACTGCCCCCCCCCCAGAAACAGAGCCTGGAAGTGGCGGGTCGCATGTTATTATTTGCTTCACCCACATTCCACCTCCTTTCCAATGAGCTGGAGGCAAAGTACATGGCCTTCCGCCCCGCTCTCTTTACCCTTTACCACCACCTTGAGAGGCAGATCCTCAGCCAGACCAGTGGCGCCCAACCTTGGCTCATCCGGGGGGTTTTGGTCCGCAGCTCCCAGAAACCTGCAGCCAGCACAGCTGGTGGTGAAGGCTTCTGGGAGTTGCAGTCCAAGAACCCCTGGGTGACCCCCCCCGCAGTTGGGCACCAACCTGTCCCCAAAAAGGGCTGCAGCCAGCACAGCTGGGGGTGAAGGCTTCTGGGAGTTGCAGTCCAAGAACCCCTGGGTGACCCCCCCCGCAGTTGGGCACCAACCTGTCCCCAAAAAGGGGCACAATCAAGTTACATTTTAAAAGCAACAAAAGCTGGCAGCCAAAACAACTTGATTCATTTGAAATGGGACCTGGGAAGACATCCTGACAAATACGGAGAATGGGCAGAAAGACAAATAAACGGAGGGCAGAGCAAATCAGGCCCAAAGTGTCACTAGAAGCTAAAAGAATGGAACAAAGTCCATTGTACTTCTGGACTTGTACCACGAAAGGACAACATTCACTACAAAAGACAGTCAATGCTGAGAAAAGTGAAAGACAGCAGGAGAAGAGGAAAGCTTAAACGTGGGATGGATTGACCCCATAAACCACGGCTTTGAATTTGCAAGAGCTGAGCAGCAATGTTAACAGTAGGATGCTCTAGTAATGATAATCATGCGCCATTGAGTCAATTCTGATTTACGGTGACCCTTCTCAGGGTTCTGCATGTATTCTGGTGCTGCTTGCCCAAGGCTACCTAGGCTGGTTCTTTTGCCCGGAGGCGTAGTGGGGGAATTAAACTCCCAACTTCTGGCTCCACAGCCAGAGACCTTATTCACTGAGCTATTTTTATTAAAAAAGAGATCATTAATTCAGAAGGCTGTCATCCTCTGGAAGCAATAACATTCCCTAGTCACTGTTGAAAGTGGTTTTTAAAATCATAAAGATTTCCACAGGCATTCCGAGTGGCATTTTCCTGGTTTTAAACCAGAAGCATCAATCCAAGGATTTTTTTTTGTTCCTCCCCACAAAATAACTAAAAGTAACTGGAAACTATCCAGAAATATTGTGAGTTACTTTTGAAACAGCAGCGTGAATAATAAAGAGGTTCTTTCTAAAACATTACAAGTGCATAACAGGAATAAATTACTTTTAATCAGTAGCTTTCCCAAAAGCTTGCCTCAGAATTCCTAAGGAGCCGCTTAAGGGCACAGACGGCCTTCCTCAATCTAAACTACTCTGGGGTACCTTGACTACAGCACCCATTATCCCCACCCCAGGCCACCCTGGAGGAAGGAAGCAGCAGCAGATGCAGGACATGGCTTTGCCTGGGTGGATGTGTTTTGAGGCAATGTGGCACAGGGGTTAGAGGGCTGGATTGGGGGGGGATCAGAGTTCAAGTCTCCACTCTGCCATGGAGTTCAGTGAGTCACCGGAGGCCAATAAAACTCTCCCAGCCTGGCTTGCTTCACAGGGTTGCTAAGAGGGTAACGCGGGGGAGAAAGAAGACCCATACACTGCCCGGAACTCACTGCAGAGAAGACAAAATAAAAACAGAGGCAACCAATAAATACATGGAAGGACAGCCCACGGAGAGTTCCAAGGACACCTGCATGGCCGCATCCTCTCCGTAGGCGTGCATATTTCAAAGAAAGCCCCACCAGTCCAAAGGACTTGTTCCCGGTTATGTCTGTCGTGGCTTCGGCGTACGTTCATGTCCCGGACCTATATGGACCAAGAAGCTCTCCTAACCAAAGCTTGGGAAAACTCGCCTTTTGGGGGTGGTGATTTTTCAGGAGGTTCCGGCCAGCTGGGAGATTCTGAAAAGTCCTGTTTCTATGGGTCAAGACTCAGGACCTCTTTAAAACCAAGAAGCTGCAGCTGGCTTTAGCTTTTATGGGCCGCAGCCCCTGAAAACATGGACTGAAGCCCAGGGAAAAAAAACTTGTACCACAGAACCCATGGCTGCTTTTCCCTCCGGACGGTTTGGTGACAATTCTACAATTTAGGAGACACCCCCCCCAACCCATCACATCCAGAGGGCCTGAATGCCTCAGGTGGGGCCACCTCTCTCTGCCCCCCCCAGAACAGGTACATTCCGACCCCAAGGCAAGTCAGCGCTCATTCTCCCTCGTTCCTACGGACAGGCGAGGAGCCACCGGTGAGCAGGACACTTGACATCCACAACTCGTACGTAACTGCAGCTGGCAGCTGACCCCCCAGCTGCCGACAAGATCCCCCCTTTACCTCTCTCTGCCCGGAGCTGCAGGCGATTCAGCACAGCCCCCATGAAAGCGAGGGTTCCTGAAGAGCACAATCCGAAGCAAACCAGAAAGAGAGCGCCTGACCTACTCTCAGAAACCCAAACCACAAACACCTGAAGGCCCTTCCTTTTATCCAGGACAGGAAAAAAAAGCTTCCGGCCTCTGATTTGCAAGGGTTTGAGGGAGAGGAGGGTGTCAAATCTTGAAGCTGGCCCGGTCCAGCTCTTAAAGAGAGACCCACCTCCTTGGGGAGATCCCTTTGAGGGACCTGCTTTCCTCCAAAGATCGATGGTGCCTACGGTTGTTTATTCGGAAGGACGTCCCGTGCTTTCCTGTGGGCTTCCTCCTCTGGTGTAAGGAGGAGGCAGAGGGTCGCCCTCTGTGCCCAGCTGCCTTTCCCAAAAACCGAGGAGGCCCATTGAGGGGAAAGAAACGAGGCCAACAACACTCTCATTCTGCAGAGCCGGTGCTGGTGAGCCCCCCCCCCTTTGCCAGAGGCTCTCTAGGTGTCTGATTGACGCAATCCCATCACCCAGCTGACTGAGGCCGATGGGAACCGGAGTCCGAACACACAAAGGGCCAGAGGTTCCCCACTCCTGCAGTAGAGGCATTTATGGCTCCTTCTGTCAGCTAAAGCCAAAAAACATGCTTTTGTGAAAGAGATGGCCCCCACCTCCCAAATAATGTCTCTGTGTACAGTACAGTGTTTTCTTGCACACCTCCAGGTTTATCCAGCACGTCCTCCTCTTAATTGCCATTTCCATAAGCATTAGCCATGTCCGTCTGGCTTCCATCTAGCAGAAGAAGAGTTTTGCAACCCCTTGATGACCCACCGGCATGGGCTGCCGTGGGTGACGATCCACTTCTGCAGATAAACGAGGGCATTATTTAAGCCACAGCCCTTGTTGTTTCAGAGGCGAGACATGCGTGACTCCCAGCGGCCCCTCTTTCCCCCCTGCATCCATAAATGACTAAACGGACAGGCTACCCCACTTTGAGCGCATCATGAGGAGACCAGACGTGATCCTGTGAGAGTGGAAGACGGTAGGAAAAGAGGAGGAACAAGCATGAGATGGACAGACTCATTAAGGAAGCCAGGGCTTTGAACCTGCAAGAGCTGAAACTCACAACCTTCTGGAGGTCACTCACCCATGAGGTTACCAGAGGTCAGAAATGGCCTGAAAGCACATGAGAACAACAACATTGGGATGATTTTTTAGGGCAACACAGACACCATCTAGAATTTTTTAAAAAAATCACAAAGCCTCCTTTCTTTGGCTTCTTAGCTTCCACGAGGCTTTTTTCCAAGAATAGACCTTTTGTCATGTTCAACCATCATCACTACTGAGCACAAATGTTGACATTTGCACATAGAGCTGGGATTACGGTTCCCAGAATCCCCAGCCAGTAGGGCCCTGCCTGGAACTTGTATCCAGAACAAAACATTTTGACACGTTCTGTGAAACCAACATCCCAGTGTCGAGGGCAGCCCGCCGTCCTTTCAGCTTCTCAAGGGGGAGGGGAAGAAAAAGATGACGTGGATTTAATTCTCCAGCAAAGCAATGGAGACTCGGAACGGACAGGGTGGAATTGAACCGCAACCTCGGAGGGAGGCCTCCGCAGTGTGATCTTTAGCGAGGTTTTGCTTGCTAGCCGGGGCTGCTGGGTTTTCTTTTGCCCGGCCGCCTGCTGCCATTTTTGCAAGGGCCACTTGCGCTGCCAAACAGAGGACCTTGATGGGTCCCTAACGGGTGTTGGCTCAGGACCTTCAGCCAGTGGACAGAAAGGGAGGGAGGGCTGCCCGGGCGAGGATGCCGACGAAAACAGGGCAGGGGGCATGGACCGCACACTGGCCTTCCTTTGGACCTCTCCGCCCCCATCAGCATCTCCCAAGAAAGAGATTAACTTGCCCCCCCCGACCCCCACAGGTAGAGCACATTGCCACTGATACAGAGCTGCAAAAAGTTTGTTTTTTGGACTACGAAGCCAAGCCAGGACGATGCCCGAGTTGTCCCAGAAGCCTCCTGACTCAAGGGTCGGACTGTGAGTCCAGCCAACCCTCACATGGTTTGCTCCAGAGCTTGGGAGCCCGTAGCCCTTCGGAGGGCAGGCCTTGGAAAAGTTACTTTCGTGGATGATGGCCACGATGGCTGGAAGATCCGGGGAGTGGTAGCCCTCCCACGAGGCAACTTTCTGAAGCTCCGTCCACCACAACGAGGTTGGGCTCCGACTGCTCTTCCCTCTAGCCAGCCGAATGAGGCCGAAGGATGATGGGAGCTGTAGTCCAGCAACATCTGGCCACTCTGCTTGGTCCGCCAAGGCCTCGTGCTGAAATCTCTCATGGGACGTATCCTCAGACACTTCTCAGCAGAGACGCTGCTACGTACGGCTTCTCCAACGGTATCTCTGTTCGCAAAGGGGTGCTGGGTCGTTGCACGAAGACCTGGCATACCTCCAGTCTCACTTTGTACTGCATTTTGATCCCCCCCACACTCTCTCTCTTATCTAATTCCTCAGCGAGCTTACACGGGGGAGTCGAGGGGCCAGCTGCCAAGCGAGTAATGCATCCCGCTCCGAGCCTGACGCCCGATCAAACCTGCAATAGGTCTATAATACAAAAGCGATCATAGCCTGAAAGCATTTTTAGCAGTCATTGGTTCCCCGCTAAGAACCCCGGGATCTGCAGTCTGGCGAGGGACATAAACAGCTTCACAAAAGAACTCGAGTAATTATCTCGAGTAATTATACCAGGCCATTGTAAGAAACCTTCCAAACGACAAGCTCCCAGCGTTTCGTAGGACAGAGCCGTATAAAGCGGTGTCCAACCGCTGACATGGCAGCACGCAGAGGTGCTCCAAGCTGGCACAGCCTCTCCTCCACTTCTGCCGTTTCTCTGCTTCCGCCTGCTTGCAGACATGCGACAGGACCTCCGGATGGCCCTTTTCCTCTCGTGGGAGACCTCTTGCTCCCCCTGAGGTCCCTGTGGGTCTGTCGGCTCCACCCAGAGCCGTTTCCGCCCTCGGAGAGGAGGTTGGCGGCGGGGGGCGGGGGTAGAGAGCGATGCCAGGCCTTTCTTCTTGGTTGTGGCACCAAGGCTGGGACCCTCCCCAGAGAGGCCCAGCTGACCTCCACCTCTGGGCTGTCCTTGGCAAGTCAACAAGGTCACAGGCTTTTTGAGAGACGCTGCCTTAAGGGGAATCGGAAATCCAAACAGTTGCGCTCCCTGCTTTAAAATTCCTGGCCCATGATTGAGGAGATTTAAATTTATCCCCTGATGATCGGGAAGCCCCTTGAAAAAGAGAGGAAAGGAGGGTTCCTGCATCTTTAAGACTGGTGTAGAAGAGGAAATTTCTCCAGCTGCATCAGGTGTAACAAGGGGCACCCCATGCTTGCCTTCAACATATGACCTTTAAAGGGGCAGGGGCCGTTGCATCTGGCCCCCTTACCCCAGAGAGTGAGTCACCTTGCTCAGGTGCCGTTGCTTTTGTTACTGAAGGATCTGGAATACCTGGGGTCCGGGAGACCCATGCTGCATAAGTCGTCTGCGCATGGAGACTCAGAACAGGGAGCCCTACTTAAGCAAAGAGGATTTGTCTCCCAGACACGACACCTCAGACTGGAGCCTTAACTCAGAGAGACCATGAGGTGGCCGAGTGGTATCTGGAACCTTCTTGTGTGCATCTCACCGTCGTCTTTGGCTGTAGATCTGCTGGCCACAGCACCGTCTTCCTGAGCATCCCTCAAGGGCTATCAAGAAAGGACAAGATCCAGAAAAGGGTTACTTCTCTGAATTTCCGCCAAGCCGTTTTCTGGGGAACATCAACACTCCCTGGCTGGAGTCGCCATCCCAGCTTTGAACACGACAAAACCTCTGGTCCTCTAGGTGTCAGCTAGCGTTTTGTGTCCAGTTCTGGACACCACACTTCAAGGAGGAGGCCAACAAGGCTATGGTTTGTCCTTTTACAGTGACCATCTTTCATCAGAAGGCCCAGCACTGAAGGTGGTGAAGTGAAGAAATCGGGGTCCCTATTATCGACCTCCTTCAGTCCAGGATTGCTCGAAAACAGCCCCAAATATTCTTCCATTCTTCTCTGGCTTTCTCCTCACCGTTTGTCTTCTTTGGACAGGCAAAGCATCCGACAGTCCACGAAACCTTATGCTTAATAACACTTGTTTCTCTTTATGACGCTATGGGAGTCTCCCTTCCGGCAACAGCCACGCGTGGCTGTTTCACTGGAGGCCAGACCGTGAGGATGGCGTCTCTGGCCAATATTGGTGCACTAAAGCCAGAGCCACCAGCTAAGACCTTTTGCCCTCGGTCCACTTCCCATCGTCAGAGATGGGACTCTTTTGCCCTGGTGGCTGGGGGATTCTGGGAGTTGTAGTCCAAGCCAAAACATTTACTGTCGCATATTTTAACTTACGACCCACAGTTTTGTGCAACAGGGATTTGCAATCCTTTTGGGGCCCCGAGAGGCATCCGTAGAAGGGGGAAGCATACAGATGCTCAGGATCTCAGAGGGCAAAAGCAGGTGACCCATACAGGACAGCTACCGATGGTCCCAAATTCTGCACCCTGGCTCTTCAGCTAGAATCGCAACACCTTGGCTACCTGCCTCCACAGGAAGCCATTTTTTGGTCCCCAGGATGCATCCCAAATGTGATGGATTCTTGTCTCAAGCATCCCCTAACTATCTCTAGTGCAGCACATCTGGAAGGCGCCCCTGATGCAGAAGCCTGATGTATAAAGTATTTAGCAGAACCTGCCAAGCTATCTTTAAAAAGTAATTTGCTCCTGTTTGTTGTTTCTGTGCTAGAAAGGTAACCTGTTGTCATTATTTGTCAGAATATTAAAACTACAGCTTCTTACCTCCTCATTATTCTTTCTCTGTTACTTCCTCTTGGCTTTTAGAAAAAAAAATACTTAAGATTGCTAAAAGAATCGCGTAAGCTTGGAAGATGCATGTCTGAGTGTTTCTAGGAATAATGTATTCACGAAGGCTTTCACAGCCGGGATCTAATGGTTGTTGTGGGTTTATCCGGGCTCCTTGGCCGTGTTCTGAAGGCTGTTCTTCCTAATGTTTCGCCAGTCTCTGTGGCCATGGGCATCTTCAGAGGACAGCACTCCTTAAAC